TACTAATGTATACATAATAACCCCTCTCCCCATTTGGGAAACTAATTCATAGTGCTTGTCACAGCAGGATCCTGCAGGAGGGCCGTGATCTCCTTAAGGTCCCTCTCACTGTGTCAAGGCCGGCCCAAGGGCACCCTCTTCTTCTCGCCCGCCACGTCTTTGATGTTCAGTATATGTTGGGAGGCTGCCTTATACCGCCTTGGGCACGGCGTATCAGGACCTCTGTCCCCGCAGTTTTCCCGGACTCTTGCGGTCTCCCCGTACGATGGGTGCTACTCAGGCACCCTAGCCTTATGGGCTACGCGTGGCTCCTACCAACCCCTAATACCACGCCCCAAGCCTCGCAGTTGTGATAGACGTTGGTGTGTCTCTCTATACATACACTGCCCCCTTCTCTGGGGCCTTCTCTCATAAGGCACTCCCCTCTTCGGAGCTTGCTGTGCCCCCCCTTGGGCTTCCTAAAATGCTGCCCCCTTCTCTGGGGCCTCCTCTAAAAGTGTTGTCCCACTCAGGGACCCTTGCCTGCTTTGGGTCTCTATATCGAGCCTCCGGTCTTTTAGGCCCACTGTGCTGCTTCCCCTTTTCCGGACGCTGTACTGCTATCCCCTTTTCCTGGGGGACCACTGCAGCACCCTGCCCTTCTCTTGGGCACACCGTGCTGCTAACCCCTTTTTCTAAGGTCCACCACAGCACCCTGCCCTTCTCTTGGGTTTTCTGCGGTGCTAGCCTGTTACCAGGCTCGTCATGCCCCTCTCGGGCTTCTCACGTATTGCCACCCCCCTCTCTGGGGCTCGCTGTGCCCATGCTGGGCTCCCTAATAGTGTTGCCCCCTCTTTGGGGCTCGCTGTGCCCACGCTGGGCTTCTCTAAAGTGCGCTCCCCCTTCCTGGGGCTCACCACGCCCACGCTCAGGCTTCCTAGTAGTGCCCCCTCCTGGGGCTCGTCGTGCCCACACTGGGGCTTACTGCGCCCCCCTTGGGCACCGGGGTCCTCACACTCAGCCATGAGGCCCCTTTAAGGATACTGTGCCCTCACTAGCACCAGGGTTCCCCTACCACTGGGGTCCCTTGGGGTTCAGCCACTCCTCTCTGAGCTTAACTGACCCCACTACTCTGCCCTGCAACTCTCAGGGCCTAGTGTGCCCTCACTGGCACCAGGCTTCCCACTTTACTGTGAGCCCCCCTATGAGGCCTCCTACAGCCTCACCCAAACCACCCATCTAATAAATAACAATGCCAAAGCAAAACCACAAGCCCCTAGGCTGTAACACAAATTGAAGCCACCTGGCTATAACTTAACACCACGGCTCAAGCCTCCCGAGCTGCCTTCTATAACTCTGCTCAAGCAGTACTTGCAGTTCTCACTGCTTCTAGTATCATGGCTGAGAGAGCTCCAGCCTCTCTGGCTACTGGCAGGGAACTACCAGCTTGGCTTCAGCCCTGGGCTTTATAAGGGCCAGGCCCTGCCTCCTACCGGCAGCTGACTCTCCTTAGTTGCCCCGGCAACCCACAGCTGTACTCACTAATCACTGCTAGGGCTCCTTATGCACTGCCAGAGCTTCTCCTCTGGCAGTTTTCCCCTCTCTAGGAGCGGGGCAGCAAGGTGCGCCGCGATAGTGCTAGTAAAACCTGCTGAAAATCTCCTTCAACAAAAGCAAGTAATAGCACTGGTTAGGAAATTATATATACAAAACAGCGCCTACTGGGTATGTCTACATGACACGTTATGTTGCTGTAGCATTGGTGGGCGTAAGCCATGATGCCAATGCTATTATGCAGTAGCAACGAGGTACTGTGCAGTGGCTCATTGATACTGCGCAATAGGGTCAGAAACAACCCATGTGCCACCAGGATTGCACAGTAGCGGCTAGTACTGTGCAGTCATTTAGTACTTGCTTAAGCACTTTAGCAAGTACTAAATGACTACACAATAACAATCACACAGTTGGGGCCATGTGTAGACGTGCCCACTGTTCAGATGTCTCCATCAGCACTCAATTACCCTTCTTAGGAGAAAAAGGTCACTGGGTTAATAGTGTTCTTTTTCCTTTTACATTTTATAAATAATTCAATATGTTTTTTTAAATAGAAAAAATCATACCCAAGGCATGACTTTATTTTTGGTGTTTTTTCTGGGTAAGATACTAGTATATTACATTACCTGCTTTTGCCAAAAAAAGTGAAAATAGTAAATCAGAGTCCCAAGGTTTTTAAGAATATAACATAACTACAATGAACAGATCTGATCATTGATTGCTAAAACATTCAGAATATTTCCTTTGACAGTTTCAAATTCAGTTGCATTATAGCTGTACAACTCTGATGCTGTACATTATAGCTGTACATTAATAGAAGCCTGATTTATCTTGGAAAATATTAACTATTGACTTTTATATGATGAGTATTGGCAAAAGTGTCCAATTTAAAAAAATCTATCCCTTTTATGTGACTCCAGACCATTATTTGTTTCCAAAAGAATAAAATCATGTCATTGGGTCTCTCTCTCCTCTCTGTTCTTTCCAATCTATTTCAGTAACCACACCAATACCCCAAAGCACTTTTGAGCTAGAATCTAATGCCACAAAGTTTGCTATATATACTCTGTAAAATTTTAGTATAACCAATGAACTCCCCATTTCTCCACCTTCAACAGAGACAAATCAAATTTCTTACTTTAAAGCTCCCTGGGGAGCAACTGAACAATAAATGCTTCTATCTGGCACATCAAGATATATAATCTGTTACCATATGTTCAGGGATTCATGGGCTAAATAAATTTAGAAAAGCACTCAAAAGAGAATTCTACCATTAAGTGTTGTGAATTAAAGCTCCTTGTCTCACAAGATTATAGCTTAACATTTTTCTAAATAAGAAGAGTCCTAGAATGAGCAACAAAATATATTTTTAAAATTTATAAACCTTTCCTAAAAATAATAAAAACACTTGAGCTTTAGCTCTGAAAAGAAGTCAAACTGCAATAAATTGCTAATACAAACCAGACAGAGTTAGTTAGCCATGTTAATCTGAAGTCAAGCAGAAGGCAAAGTAGGGATGCACAGTATAGACTAACTGAATCAGAGATGCATAAGCTTTTGTGAGCAGTAGCTCAGTTCATCAGATGCTACCCTTCCCCAACCTGGTGACCCAGGTATTGTACCCTGGCTGCACCCATTTTACAGTAGGCACTTTACCAGTTAGACCTACTTCCCCAGGTCTCTTCAGTAGTTTCTACAGGACCCACATGCTCTTCCCAGCTGTCACTGTAAATAGGAACTTTTATGTGAGCCCAAGCAAAATTGTACATCTGGCCAGTACTTGATTGATCAGCCTTTGGAAAGCAGCTCCTGAATTTACGAGTCCAAATGGTAAAACTTTAAACTCATATAGTCCCGTGCCCTGTAAGTAGCCCTATGATAGCCCCCGTGATAAAGTCCCCCTACTCTAAACCTGACAAAGGGATAGATCCCTTTGGATGGGGATGTCAGGTTTAGAGTACTAAGATCCTACACTCTGTAGTAGGGGCCCTGGTAGTCCCACCATTCCCTGCAGATGGCCCCAAACTGCCACTTAGATCAGTGGTTGTCAACTGCGGGTATGCGTACCCCTAAGGGGCTGTAGGGGGTATGCAGAACTGATGTGGCTGATAATTGCCGTGTGCATGCATACAGATGCAGTGCAGCACACGGGTGGCCAGGAGCACAGCCCGGTCATGTGTAGAACAGCCAGGTCTACCTGGTAAATCTGTTGTGGGGGAAGGGGCTTGGGGGAGGAGTGCGGATGGGGCAGGTGCTGCCAAGCTGGGGTGGGGTGTAGGACCAAGCCACATGTCGGGGGGAGGAGGGGGATGGCTCCCACCGTTACGTGCACCCTGGGTGGGCATGGGGGGCGTGTACCCCCGAATCTGCATGCAGGCCACAGGCAGGCTGCCACTGCAGGCTGCAGCTGGGCTCTTCCCAGTGCGGGGCTGGATCGAGCTGAGCTCGGGGCAGGCAGTGGCAGTGCTGGGAAGTTTGGGGGGCTATGGTGAATTGTGGAGTGGCTGCAGCCCCCCCCTCTCCCCCTGCACCTGTAGCCCTACTGCCATAGGCCCCTGCAGTGATGGAGTAGGGCTGCTGCCCTCCCACAGGGCTCAGTCCCATACCACATCCTGGCTGGGCAGCCCCTGCCCCTGCCCCACTCCCTCCTCTGCCACTGGGGCCTCGATCTGCTCCCCCTGCAGCAGCAGTCCACCCTTACCCCATGCGCACACGCCCCCCCATGCCCTCCTGGGGTGTGCAAAGTAGCAGGAGCTGCTCATGGCTCTGTCCCATACCCCATCCTGGCTGTGCAGCACCTGCCCCAGCCCTATTCCCTCCCTCACCATGGGGGCCTCGATCTGCACCCCCCCTTAAAAACAAGAGAAAAATATAAATATAAAGGGGTACATGAGCTAAAACTTTGAGACAGAAGGGGTACACCTGTTAAAAAAGGTTGAAAACCCCTGGTCTATAGCATACACCTGTACCCTGCCTAACACATATCAGTTCAGAGATCTTTTCTGCTGCAACATTAACAACTGCCTCATAATGATAAGTGTAACTCCTCAAATATTTCTAACTGAAAATATAATAATAGCATTATAATGAATCACACCACATATTTTCTAAAAATATATATATATACCACAACAATAAATTTGTTTCTATTTTTTCTGAGATATAATTGGCATGATTTTTGTCTTTGCTGAAGTACTTTGGCAATTGGGACACTATAGCTGCCCCATTTTTAACATATAATGATAACATTTCTTAACCAACACTTTGATGATGCATTTAAAATTCAGTCTTGGCAGATAATTTTTGCAACTTAATTTCTAAGTTAATTTAAACCCCCAAACTTTACATTAATTGTCTAAAAAACAATGCTAAACTGACCATTTTTTTCAAAATTGTGAAATGCATTAATTTATTTTCCCATTAAACATTCTTTAAAAGTGCTAATTCCTCCAGTGGGTTTTTTGTACCTCTTTGCTTATCACTAGAAGCTCCACTTCAGATTTACATATGACTGAAGTAAGATGGTTTGTCATAGTCAAAAGGCAGATTTCCTGCAAAGGAAAAACAATTATAAAAAGAATCATTTAGTCATCTTTATGGTTTACTTTGTAATAAACCAGTACATAGAGGACTGTTCAACTCAACTGTAACAGTACAGTGGGAAATCCTGAAAAGTACTCAGTGGGCATGTCTACACAAGATGCTAACTGCTCAGTAGCTTAATAATACGTGGACAGTGCTAATATGCTACTGCACAATATTATTAGGTTAGTGCACAGCAGCATCACAAAAAAGGCATTTGCCAGCGCTACTGCTCAGTAACTCCAGTTACTGCAGTTATTTAGTACTTGATCATACAAGTACTCATGTTTAAAACCTGGAGAAACCCCAGAGGAAATTTTGGAAAGATAATTGTAAGTCCATAAAAATCAATGATTTTTTAATGTAAAATACCATCTAAATGGGCATTGAATTCAAATAATCAAATGATGCCTTCTATATGAGCAGCACCTCAGGAAAGAATTCAGCCAAAATGCTTTCAGGGTACAAAGTCAAAAGTGTTACCAACACTGTATTACATAATCTACAAAATGGAAATGCATTTAATCAAATGTGTTTGTTTTCTTTTAATCTTGTTAGGCATATGGCACATTGCTCTACGGAGATGTAGCAACATGGCATGCTATGGCAATGTAGCGATCATGTGTGTCTACATGTGATCAGAAGCTATGTCGCCATCATGACACACTCCCCGCCCCCCAGTATAGTGCTTTGCTACAGTGACAGAGCAACAAAATCTAACTGTGCCCTGTGCATGTAACCTCCCATACTGTGCTATGCTTTAGTACTTCCAAAAGGAAGTCATAAAGTACAGCACTGTGTCAACATTGCCATACAGTGACGTGTAGATGCACCCCATAAAATATGAGACAGATATTCCCTCTTAGCAGCATGCTGATACACTGCTGATTGTGCCTATCAGATGTACAGCCTGATTGTCTCCTTCTACAGAAAGAAGCTAAAAAGAAGGTCATCTATGTGGAATTTCTTCCAGTTGTTTTTACTGGCTGTTTCTAGTGCTTCCCAGTGGCCAACAAGCACCAATGAAGTATAGTAACAGGGCTCCTACTGAAAGTGATTGCTTCATCAGCTTCCTACTATGACGTGGAGTTGCAGAAAGTTACATTCTTTCTCTGCCCTGGAGCACTAGTATGCTTTCCCATCTCCTTATCTGTGTCCACGTCCCATGTCTGCCCCAACTTGCTCTTTCTTCCTGTTCATATCAAAGGACTCATGGAGTAAACTTCCACAAGTTTTGGACAGGGGATATGACTTTATAGACACCTGCAGACTCCACTCCACATGAAATAGAACCACACCATAAATTATTCCATTTTCTAATACGATATCACAAAAACCAAACAAAAGTGTCTGACATTCACCATAAGTAAAAACAATGCAACCAGAATTTCAACTTTGTAAGTAATATTAACACTTAATAAGCTAAGGTAATTGGATATCCAACCTTTATTGACTTCCTTTTTGTACTTTTGAAAATATATCCCCTAAATATTTTTTGAAGTATATTTTCTTTCCAAATATTTTAAATTAACATATTTACCCCTATGAAATCTCCTTCTTCAGCTTCATACAACATTTCAGAGGTGAAAAGTTGGGCTTTCAAATTTGCATCACCATATAGGACTTCTAATTTTCCAGACAGTACTAAATAACATTCATTTGGTACATGTCTTTGCCTTATAATTATTGTTCCAGCTTCATACCTAAAGAGAAAATTAACAATGTAATAAAGCTAAACCTGATGCAATATCAGCAATGCACAATTACTACAGTATTTAAAATGTAAACATCAGTATACAGACATCAGAACATATTCTTCTAGAATGAAAGAAAATGAGTCCATAAATAATTGACCCACTTTCAACAACAGGCATATATGGTATTATACCAGCATCAGAATGCTATACCACAGAAATTGAAATATAAACCTAAGCCGAACATGCGATTATCAGGATCATGTAATTAACAGCAGTGTGCAAATCATCACTGGTTCTTTGCATACACATTTCCTGTACTTCTACTACAAACTGTTAAATATTTATGCAAATGATATATTTAAATACATAAATACACACATATTTTGCATATAGACAGAACACGCAGCATTCTGAAAGTCTTGAGCCCTGGATACCAAACTACTGATCTGCAGGATCTCCTGACTGACCTTTACAGGAGCTGTGAGAGTAGTTGCAAATAATTACCTCAGGTCGTATCTGTACATGAATGCACAGAGCCTGGGAAACAAACAGGGAGAATTGGAAGTCTTTGCACAGTCACAAAACTATGATGTGACTAGAATAACAGAGATTTGGTGGGATAGCTTGCATGACTGGAGCGTTGTTTTGGATGGGTATAAACTGTTCAGGAAGGACAGGGAGTGGAGAAGAGGAGGAGTTACACTTCATGTAAAAGAGCTGTGTGATTTCTCAGAGCTCCAGTATGAAACTGGAGATAGGCCTGTTGAAAGTCTCTGGGTTAGTCAGAGGAGATAGCAACAAGGGTGATGTTGTGGTTAATGTCTATTATAGACCACCAGACCAGGGGATGAGGTGGAATGAGGCTTTCCTCAAACTGTACAGGTTTCCTGATCACAGGACCTGGTTCTCATGGGGGATTTCAATCACCCTGACATCTGCAGGGAGACCAATACAGCAGTGCACAAGCAATCCAGGAAGGTTTTGGAGAGTATTGGAGACAACTCCCTGGAGCTAGGGTTGGAGAGGCCAATTTTGGGGTTGTGTTCTTCTTGACCTGCTGCTCACAAACAGGGAAGAATTGGTGGGAAATGTAGTAGTGGATGGCAAATTGGGCAGCAGTGACCATGAGATGACTGAGTTCAGGATCCTGAGGAAAGGAAGAAAGGAGAACAGCAGAGTATAGACCCTGGACTTTAGTAAAACAGACTTTGACACACTCAGGGAACTGATGGGCAGGGTCCCCTGGGATGCTGGTCTGAGGGGGAAAGGAGTCCAGGACAGCTGGCTGTACTTTGAAGAAACCTTACTGAGGGCACAGGAAGAAACCATCCCAATGTGCAGAAAGATTAGTAAATATGGTGGAAAACCAGCTTGGCTTAACAGGGAGCTCTTCGGAGCTTATCAGGGAGCTAACACACAAAAAGGAAGCTTACAAGAAGTGGAAACTTGGACAAACAACTAGGGAGGAATAGAAGAGTATTGCTTGGGTAGGGATGAAATCAGGAAGACCAAAGAGCAATTGGAGTTGCAGCTAGCAAGGGATATGAAGGGTAACAAATATGTCAGCATCAAGAGGAAGATCAGGGAAAGTGTAAGTCCCTTAACTAAATGGGGGAGGCAACCTAGTGACAGATGATGAGGAAAAGACTGAAGTACTCAATGCCTTTTTCACCTCAGTCATCACAGGCAAGGTCAGCTCCCAGACTGCTGCACTGGCAGCATGGTTTGGGGAGAAGGTAAGCAGGCAGCAGTGGCAAAAGAACAGGTTAGGGACTATTTAGAAAAGCTGGATGTGTAAAAGTCCATGGGGCTGCACAGCACGCACCCAAGAGTGCTGAGGAAATTGGTCAATGTGATTATAGAGCCACTAGCCATCATCTTTGAAAACTCAGGGAGACCAGAAGTGGTCCTAGACAATTGGAAAGGGGCAAATATAGGGCTCATCTTTCAGCAAGGGAAGAAGGAGGATCCAAAGAACTACAGACTGGTCATCTTCACCTCAGTCCCTGGAAAAATCCTGGAGCAGATCCTCAAGGAATCCATTTCTAAGCACTTGGAGGACAAGAGGGTGATTAGGAACAGTCAGCATGGATTCATCAAGGACAAGTCATGGCTGACCAACCTGATTGCCTTCTATGGTAAAATGACTGGCTCTGTGGATGTGAGGAGACTGGTGGATGTGGTGTACCTTGATTTTAGCAAGGCTTTTGATACACTCTCCCACAATATTTTCTCAGGCAAGTTAAGGAAGTATGGGTTGGATGAATGGACTGTAAGGTGGATAGGAAACTGGATGGAGCATTGGGCTCAGGGGTTAAAAACCAATGGCTCAATGTCTAATTGGCAGCCGATATAAAGTGGAGTGCCCCAGGGATCAGTCCTAGAGCCAGTTTTGTTCAATATTTTCATCAATAACCTGGAAGATGGAATGGTGTGCGCCCTTAGCAAGTTTGCGGATGAAGCCAAGCTAAAGGGAGTAGAGGATACACTATAGGGTAGGACTGGAATTCAGAGAGACCTTGATAGATTAGAGGACCGCATCAAAAGAAATCTTATGAGTTTCAATAAGGACCAGTGCAAAGTCCTACACTTAGGACAGAACAATCCCATGCACTGGTACAAGCTGAGGAATGACTGGCTAAGCAGCAGCTCTGCAGAAAAGGACCTGGAGATTACATAAAATGAGTATAAGCCAACGGTGTACCCTAAACTGAATATGAACCATAAGCTGAATATGAGCCAACAGCGTGCCATTGTTGCGAAGGCTGGTGGCATACTGGGCTGCATTAGTAGAAGTGTTGCCAGCAGATCAAGGGAAGTGATTATTCCCCTCTATTCAGCATTGATGTAGCCACATCTGGAGTACTGTGTTCAGTTTTGAACCTCCCAGTACAGAAAGGATGGAAACAAATTTGAAAGAGTCCAGTGGAGGGCAACAAAAATGGTTAGGAGGATGGGGAAGTTATGAAGAGAGGCTGAGAGAACTGGGTTTATTTAGTTTGGAGGGGAGAAGACTGAGGATGGATTTAATAACAGCCTTCAACTACTGGAAGTGTGGTTCCAAAGAAGATAGAGCTAAACTGTTCTCAGTGGTGGCAGATGACAGAACAAGGAGCAATGGTCTCAAGTTGCAGCAAGGGAAGTGTAGGTTAGATATTAGGAAGAACTTTCTCACAAGGAAGGTAGTAAAGCACTGGAACACATTACCCATAGTGGTGGCAGAATCTGCATCCTTGGAGGTTTTTAAGACCTGGCTAGGCAGAGCCTTGCCTGAGATGATCTAGTTAAGGTGGTCCTGTTTTGAGCTGGGGGTTGGACTAGATGACCTCCTGAGTCCCTTCCCAACCCTAAATATCTATGATTCTATGAATCAGTATATGTTGAGACTTATTTCATTTGTAGGTCATTCTTCACGAAGCCTACTAACAGAGCTAAGAGAAGTATTTTCAAAACTGGTAGGGGCCTTAAATTCCAGTGAAAACAAAGACAGTCAGGTCGTCTATTGCCAATTCAGGCAGACTGTTCCTTTTCTTTACTAGGGCCTGGTTTACACAGAAAAGTTGAAGTAGATTAAGGTAGGCTGTGAATTTTATATGGAATAGATATTTCTGACAGACTCCTTGTGTGAACATCCTTATTCTGAATTAGCTTAATCCATTTCCACAGTGGATTAGTAATTGGCTCAAGAGTGCAGAGGAAAGGAGAACAAAACAGATCTTAGGACATTTCACACTGACACTGTCCCATGTACACTTCCTATTGAAGGATTCAGATTCTGCACTCCCTTATCTTGGCTTTGCAAAGGCACCCACCTATCAATTGCACTAACTTCTTCACAGAATATAAAATGGCCAAATCATTGAGAAGCAAGGATGTCTTCTGGGAGGGAGGAGAGCTGGAGACAGAGACTTAACCTCATTAGGTTGTTAATCCTTGGAAAACTTTTATTTAAATCATTGTCTTCATTTTTGTTTTTGAGAGAAAACTTTTGTACTTGTACCTTCCAGATGTTGGATTCCACCTGGATATTTTATTCTCATGGCCAGATGCGCTTCATTACAAGACTGTCATTCAAATCACAAATAATCAGAAAAGTGTCATGTGTATCTACTACTCAGTAACTTAATTGGTCACAAGTTTTAGAAGCATGATTAACACTTAATTCAATGAGTGTAGTTTCCTTGAAAATGATTTGCTTTTTTGTCACTTACTTTTGATAGACAACAGCTTGGCAAAGCTGAAGCTGTGTCTTAATAGGCAAACACCGGAATGTTCGGTTCTTCTTCAGATATGATTGTATCTTGAAAAAAGGCAACACATGTTAATGTAATAAGGGTTCTAGGATCATATAAAGTCATTTTAAAACATCCTCGGATTCTGATTGTGCTGAACCCTTTTCTGAGGACCCAACGGGTGGAACTAGCTACCTTTTCTTTGGCCCCTGTGGCCAGGCTAGACAAAGGCAGTACTTGAGCTCTGTGCAAGACAAGTGCTGTTGTTGGATTCCATGCCTCTGCCCCATTTTCCATATCCACCAGCAGAGGAGTGGGAATGATTTTCACTGTGGAAGGATGGCACAGTAACCACACTTCCCTTGCCCTCCCTGCAGTCCCAAGGAAACACTGTGTCTATTTCAGATACCCTACAGTCCCCTGAAACAGCTCATCTCTGTGCCACCTCCAGTTCTGAACATTAAGAATAAAATCCTGAAACCAGCATGCCCACAGACCACCCCAAAAGTCAGTTTATGTATACTCAGAACCAATTTTTTTACTATGAAGGTTGTCCCGGCAGAGAAGTCTTCTTATTCCTCTGAAGTACAAAAGAGATGCATATGCTTTTTGCACGGTTTCCTTCTCTATCTTAAGATTTTGCCGGTAACTTATTTCACCAACCAGTATTGTTTGTTCTGCTGTTTGTGTTTTATATTCTATTAATCTGCATATTCCATGAGTTAGTAACTACATTATTGTATTGTCATCATAATTTTGTTTCTTTGCCTCATTTTAGAATATGACTACATTCTCAAACTAGCCTGAAAAACAGGAGGAGTTATCAAGAAAACTGGAGGAGTTCTCAAACTAGCCTGAAAGACGAAAATATTCAAACTAGCCTGAAAGACAGGAGTTTTGCCCTTAGTAGCTCTGTATTTACACGTATCCCTCCACAGAAGTCAAAGAGTTCATCTGGATTTACACACTGTAAGACCAAAATGTGGCACAGGATGTCACTCAGAGTTTAGTTCATGGATGTCACATGCACAAATCTGGATATAAATGTGACGGGCTAGCTGGTAGTCATTTGGCCCAGGGGTTTTGAAAGGGTAAAAGATGATTGAAGGACTTGGGATTCCCTTTCCTCACCAATCAGGCCCCAGAGACTCACCCTC